TTCCTTGAACTCCGCTTGATCAAATTCAATGATCAACGTTCCAGCAAAAGACCCGAGGATCTTAAAGTCGGCGTGTGACACAATCTTCTCGTCGGAGAAAGATGCCCCCGTCATCCTGTTTCTAGTTCTTTTGTATTGTAATTGATACATATTACAATGAAAAAAATTTAATGAAACAAAGGAAAATTTATTTTGTCTTTGGGTTCTTTTTCGTGTGCCAGTGGAGCGGCGATCTTGTACTCCGTTGACTCGCCGACTAAGACGATGGGTCTTTTATTGTTGATGAGGATTAGATTGCTCGGAAGTTAGCTCAGTTTTCTCTTAGCAATATCTCTCAATGGAATCGCAAATGTATACCTTCGTGTGCGTGTACGTATCTCTGCGTTCGCGCATGTGTCTCTCTCGTCTGTGTTGTAGATGATTTCCTCTCCTTTTATGGGCTAAAAGAGAGTTAATGGTCCTCTTAATTATGGATTAAGTGATCATTAAAATAGGAGATAGTAGGAAGTAGTTATCCCCTAAAAATAGCTCTGAAACGGCTAATTGGGCGGATTTTGCGGACTTGGCGAAGTTTACTGAAGACGTGGGCGAAGGTCGCTTCAAACGTAGGTGCGCCTTCTTCGGAATTGGATGACTTGGTCCATATGGGCGAAGTTCGTTAGTTGGCGAACTTCGCCTACGAGTTCGAATTTAACTCAGAATTCGACTCTAGGCTTGGCAGACTGATGACGCCTTTTGACTTGGTTTGAAGCGTGTTGTGGGGTCGACTCGTATCTAACTTGGTCGAGTTGAGTCGATATGAGTTGCTTGGCAAAATTTGCTTCAATCATTAAGTGACCTTCACTGCAGCTTGTTGTGGGCTTGACTTCGGGCCTATTCGAAGTGTTTAGCCCATGGGCATTCACTTCGTGGATCCTTAGTGAAAATACATTTAAACCGTCTATAGTTAGCTCTCTATTTAGTACACTAGTTGGCTTGTCCAAAATTTGAAGCTTCGAACAAGTCAAGATCTCAATAGAAATGCTAACTCTTCACCTTTGGCCACCACTAATTCCTTTTGAGTTTTGACCTCAAACTCTTATATTCTTTGCATCTTGCAATTCCATTTCCTTTATGGTACCTCATGCCAATGCTAATTCTTGTATTTATTGCATCTTGCAATCGCATTTCCTTTGATGCATCTTCTCCTATGGTTACCTTAATTAAAATATATATTGCATCTCTAAGAAAAATGATAAGGCACCCTTCTTTTAGTCTAAATCCATATCTGAATCAAATCCCTATCAACAATCACCAATGAATGATTATAAACCTCAAATCATGGATTAAAGTCAAACCAATATACTCAAAGTTAGTATTCGTATAAATTGGGAACATACGAATAAAATCGATCCTCGATTAAATTGAAAATATATATATATCCTCCATCCAAATAAAACGACTCTTAAGAGACAAATTGTAATATCTTTCACAGTCTAATAAGAAAACTCACTGATTAAATCAAAATACTGGAATCTAAAATATATTGCATCTCAAAACAAATGAAAACTAGACAATCCTCATTTGTTCTAAGTCCAAATCTAAATAAAATCTCAATCCTGAATCACCAATCAATGATTCTCAATCTCAAAGTAAAAAAAATCAATCTAACATTCTCAAAACCAATCAATATATCAATCATGGACATAACGGTAAATCTAAATCAAATCTTAATCCTCAACCAACAATTATTCTCAATCTCATAATCATAGATCAATTTGATATCCTCAAAATTAGCATATATATCACATGTGAACATCCATATAAAATTGATTCTAGAATAAATCTGATCAATGATGTTTTTAAACCAACTAGAAAAACTCTCAACATACAATATAAACACTCTCACACTATGATAAAAAAAACTCCCACCGAAATTAAAATACCTTTATCAAAAATATATTGCATCTCCAAGCAGAAAGAATGTAGAAGGTATCTGTTTTGTCTAAATCTATATCTAAATTGTATCCCTATCTTCAATCACCAATCGACGATTCTTATTTCAAAATTATACGTCAAACTGATATCCTCAAAATTAGTTAATGTATAATTGAGAATAAACGAATAATATCATTCCTCGAAAAAAATCATTCCCAAGCTCAAAACCAATCCCCAAGCTCAGCTTCCATAAAACCTCAATTCATTCCAACATCTTCATTAAATCATCTATCGATAAATCACACTTCAAATAATCAACATCTCAAATCGATTCTCATGTCACTCACCTTGTTTATCACCAATATCTCAATATAACAAAATTTAATCTCACCCAAACCTGATCCCTATACAAAATCCTAGATTAAAAACTAAATGTACTTTTCAATATCCTAACACAGTTTCAAATCAATCCCAAATCCCATCAATCCCAAATCCCATTCCTAAGTTAATAATCAAATCCTAGCCCTATTTATAGTTATCCTTGATCAGCCAATTCTTATGACTCCTAACCTAAGTAATGATATAATGAGATCCTCTTAAGAATACATATCTTTAAATCAAAACCTACCCCGATCTATTTAAACAAAATACAAAAATTCCCTTAAGATAAAAATCATAACATGTCTCAGACTCTGATATAAAATTGTCCGCTCAAATCAAAATATATGAATCTAAGCTATACTACATTTTGGAGCAAACAAAATTAAAAAGTGCTCATCTAGTTCCATTTTCTCACTCAAAATCATAAATAAATATGATATCCTCAAGATTAATCTAAATCCCCACTGTGAACTTCTAGGTACAATCGACTCTTGAATAAATCTAATCAAAATCCAAACTTAATGCAAATTCCCTATCTTAACATCAATAAAATCTAAATTCAATGCACTATCCTCAAACAATCTCATATATCAATCAATCGATCTTCAAATAACAATTTAAACATCAAATAACTCGACTCAATTTCTACATCCCCCGCCTTGTTTAAACCATTATCTCAATATTACATATCCCAAATCTCAATCAAAATCTAAGCCAACTCTTAGCTCAAATAATAAATCTAGCTCTTAACGTCCTAGCCTCATTTCAAGTCCATCTTAAATACAATTTCTCAATCCAAGATCAAACTCGAACATAGTTTTCAACTCATCATCCTTAATCAAACCACTCTTATGAATCCTAAACCTAAGCTTGATGCCAAAAGAACCTTATCATGCCCCATCGCAAAGTCCATGCATTAAGATCTTATGAGGACTTAATTTATTTAGAAAGTTATTATGTTCAGAAAGTTATTTAGTTTAGAAAGTTATTTAGTCCCTTATGCAATTAGGGCTTGGATGAGTATAGGTAGAGAGGTGAGATTACTGATCTTCTTGAATTCCATTAGCTAACAAAAGTAAAGTTACTTGACAAACGATGCATGACGCAACTATACAGAGCTTATTCTCCCATTAGTTACATTCACGCCTCTAGACTAGCATTAAATATCAACATTTTTTTAATATCATTAGTGCTAAGGAAAAAAAGCCTTTTATAGCTCTATTTACTAAATGAAATCAATTATACATGTCTATCATCGAAACTATAACCACGTCCTCCACAATAAAAATTAATCATCGAATAAATCTGAACAACTATGTCCCCAAACTAAGTAAAACAATTCACAAGATACAAATCATGACATCTTTCACACATTGATACAAAACTGTCCACTCAAATCAAAATGCCCGAAGCCAAAGTATATTGCATATCTAAGCAACAAAAAATGGAAGGTACTCTTTTAGTATAAGTCGAGATCTTAATCATTTTCAATCCTCAAACATCAATCAACGATTATCAATCTTAAAAACATATGAGAAATATTATACCCTCAAGATTAGTCTATATGTCAATCACGAACATACGGGTAAAATCGATCATCAAATAAATTCGATCAACTATGTCTCCAACCCAAATAAAATAGCTCTCAAGCACAAATCATTACATCTTTTCACACTGATACAGCACTCTCTCTTCGAATCAAAATAAATCAGAAACCAAAACATATTGCATCTCTAAGCAAATGAAAACTAAACGATACTCATTTTGTCTAAAGTCCAATTAATCTAAGCCAAATCTCAATCTTCAACCACCATTAATGACTCTAGGTCTTAAAACCATCGTTCATTATGATTCTCAAATAAATTGATCAAAATCAAACCTCAAAACCAATCCCCACTTGTTTATCACCATAATCTCAATATTACATATCCCAATCTAACTCAATTACCAAATCAAAATCAAAGATCAAACACAAAATCTAGCTCTCGTCACTCTCTCTCCCTCCTACCTACATTCACGAATCACACCTATAGAATAACAAAACATTGAGATATCAAAAATAGATTAGTGGAATAGCTACTGATCTTCAGATGAATCATAATTTAAGACACGATTATAAACTAGATTAATGGAACAGCTATAAGTAGAGTTCTGGACAAGGCCGCAATCTGACAATAACATCTGATAAGAAAAACTTATGTCGTACGGAGAGAGATTACATTCTGGATGATAAACATTGAGATGCCAAAAAATATTGTGAGGTTAAGACAATAAGGACGAAGTTTATGATTGATCAGCATTATAAAAAGGATATTTGACAGCTGCCCACATCGTGCCTTGAACTTGAGGCTAAGCTCGTGAGGTTCACACGTATCAATAGTTGTTTAATATAGAACAATATGGATCATTAGATGAATCAGTTCAAAGGGTTAAGAACACATACGGTTTTGCCCGATATTTGTTGCATCGCTTGCAGGTCTAACAACTAATGTGGAGGGTAATCCGCAGAGGCAACCCATGATATTTAATAATAAGTAAGCAATCTTTTACTGTTTGATTCAAAAATTTATAAAGCACCACCCATATATAAACAGAGTTATTTAAGCAAACAAAAACACACATTGATCAAATAATAACTAAATACGTGTGGTTTGTGAAAAAATTAATCAAGAACTCAATCTGCACTTGCCTCAATATCTTACCCCAGCTCCCTATAATTAGGAAATGCAACTGTTCAATCCAAGCGACTTATTTGACAGGTGCATCATGCGCAACGGCTTGTGTAGGTTGACCACCAGACATCAAGGGCTGCATTTTTAAAATCTTATAACGTCCACCAGTAAACGCTGTGGAACATCATCCTTCCAAGTAGAGAACGGAACTGAAGAAATACCAAATGAAATGTTAGCAAGGATTTTTTCCCCCTAATTTCTCATACAGGTTTTGAAACAATTCTAGACAGCTGTATGCAAAGCATATAAGCATACCGGTTGGTCATGAGATATGGCTTCCTTCGCCTGACTGGTACCTGTCATAATTTCCCAGCACCTAACCTGCACCAAAGGAGAACGAAAAGAGCTATAATTTTATCCATATAAGATATACATGATCTGAAAGTTATTACGGAAGTCATAAAGTTAAGAGATGTTAGCAGATCAAACCTGATTATCCAAGTGGCCAGCGAGAAATTTGACTTAGGACTGAAACTAAGGCTAGAGACCGTCACAGGGTCCAGGTTTTGCCTACATACACAAGAGAATTATGTGTTTAACAAGGATAACACACAGCTTAGTTGAACATGCCTCACAATTGTTTTTGATGGAATTCATGTATTGCATTAGGATTTTGAGAATGCAACCGATAACAATGTATGAACACAAAAACAAACATTTATCAGATAATAACTAAATCAATGTGTTCCTTAATCCTTAATACTAATCAAACGAAACTCAATATACACTTGTCTCGATCTCTTATCCCAGTTCCTCACAACTAGGCAATTCAACTCTTCAACCCAAACAACTTCTTTGATAGGCACATCATGCACAGCAACTTGCATAGGTTGGTCACAAGAGTCGGGAGCCACAGATTCCCAAGCTTATTGCATCCTCTAGTAAACACTACGAGAACATCATCCCTTCAAGTATAGGCTAGAGCACATAACCTTAGAAATAGCAAATCAAATGTTAGCAATAATCATTTTCCAAATTTTCCATTAAAATTTTGAAACAATTCTAAACATAAGGTGCATGCAAAGAATATACAAATACTGGTTGATAGGATACGCTTTTTGCCTGATGCTATAATGACATCCCAAGCGTGTAACCTGCAGATCATTCAAAGCAGAATCATAATAGCTATCATAACATCCAGACAGGACATATACATTATCAAAATAATTACAGGAATCATATATTTAAGAGCTCTTACCGAGCAAACCTGATTATCCCAGGCAGTGGCCACCAAGTAATTTGCATTAGGACAAGGCTAGAGATAGAGTCAGTAGGTCCAGGTTACATCTGCATCAAAAATGACAAAAAAAACATCAGTTAACTGCAATAACGTAACATACACAAAGAATGATGCGCCAGAAAAGTAAGCATACTGCTCAGTCTCTCAATTAATAAATTATCTTAATGCAAATACAAACACTACATGGAAAATAGAAACCATGTACACGCCTCACAATTCTTCTATATGGAACTTACGTATGGGCATTAGGATTTCTAGAATGTATCCTGTCATACATTGTTCTATGCAGAAATGAATGAAGAAATACTAAAATATCAGACCAGGCTTGTACAGTATATTGCGTATCTAAGAAAATACAATATTCTTTTCCATTCCAGAATGATTATACTAAAATCCAAAATAATAATAACAATGATAAATATGCTTTATAATCTTGCTTCAGATAAATGTTTTTCATAGCCCACAAAATCAAGAAAACCAATAGAAATTATTAAGAAACGCTAAGTTTGTACATCTATTATTGGCATTTCACCAAAATAACAAGGCAAAATTCTTCTTTCAGCACTACCAAGCTTAACGACGTATAATAAACTTTCAAGTTGACATCTTTTCAGGAAACCCTTATCATAGGTGCCACAATTACTAAAATTCCAAAACACACCTCATAAGACTTGTTATGGTTCACACTATCGCTGCGCTGATCCAGGAAAACACCATTATATTTTGTAAACTCATTCCTCTAGGGATAATAACAACAAAATAGCAACAAATTAGACAATAATCAAGTGAAATAACAAAGGAATTGCTAAAACCCTAGACATTTCAACGGACAGGATAAATATACCTCCTAAGGCCTAGTAGGGTTCACATTTTCCACTGCGCGATCTCAAAGCACCATTCGTTTCTGTAAACTCAAGCCTCTGTGGATAATAAGAACAAAATCGCGACAAATTAGAGAATAATCAATTTTTAAAAAAAAAAGCAAAGGCTTTGCTTAAACCCTAGAAATTTCAAAAGAACATAATAAATTATACCGCATAATTTTTAGAGTTCACATTTCTTTTCAGGGCAAAAGGAACAGAATCGCGAGAAATTAGACAATATTCAGGAAAATAAGAAAATCAATTGCTTAAACCCTAGAAATTTAAACCAAAATCCTAAAGAAAATAGAAGATGAGAGAAGAAATTACCAAAGTTTTCACTCCATTTTTTGGGCTTCGCTCTTTCTTCCTGTAAAATCTTTTATTTTAACCTCGACTGAGGTAAAAAGAGAGGGATTTATTATTTTATACAAGGGAGTACAGCGTAGCGTAGGAATGATGCTGCGGTACATCGAACCGGGTCGGGTTTCAAAACCGGTTGAAATGAAAATGAACGGTTGAGATTAGAGATCTCTTGTTTGGACGGCGGTTGCTTAGCGTAGGGTCTACGCGGACTTTAAAACGCGTAGGGTATTTTGGAGTTAGGGGTATGTTTTCGGGTCGGATCTTTTGACGAAGAGGTTTTGGACATGTTTTTAAATTTATAAATTTTGGAGAAAAGTTTTAGTAATAAATTAGCAGGCTAGCACGCAGAAATTCCATAAAATAAGCTTTTATTAGGGGCTGTTCCAGCTCTAGAATCTGCATTTCGAATTCATGATAAAACTGAGGAAATCTTCAAAAACCTAACGTTTCCGTTTGGATATCATGGTTTTTTCTTGTTGTTTTTTTATAAAAAAGACACTATGGTATAAGATTTTCTCCTTAAAGTATTTTTCAAAATGTCATTTTAAGTGTTTTTAGTCAACATTAGTTTGACTCATTACAACATTAGTATTTAACATATTATTAATATATTATATATTAATTATAATAAAATATATATAAACAAAATGTAATAATATTTAGTTTACATTCTTACAATATTATAAATATTAAATATAATACAACATAATATTATAATGTGTTATAATGTTATATTGTATGTTAATGTGTTATATTATATTATAATTATTACATATTATTTTTAAATAATAATATATTTAATTATTTTGGTATATCAATTTTGTTATGGTATTTTCATTCGCCAAAATACAACTCCTCACCAAACAACAGGCGGGTGTATTTCCACGAACAAAGCCCTTGGTGGCCCAAGCCCAGTAGAGGTCCCAACTTGGCCGACTCATAAGGTTATTACTCTTTATGGCGACTCGAGAGGCGAGATCAGTCGACCCTCTTGTTGACGTCAACTCGCATGCAGCCTACTCGACCTTTTATACAAACCCATATAAGGATGACTCTACAGCGTTACTTCTAGGCCAAATTAAAGGATAATATCTGTCACGCCCCGCTTCCCAAAATATCAGGGAATCGGAACGTGAACAAGCCCGCGACGTATTAGACTGAGGAGAAATAAGTACTAGACTCCTTCTGCTCAATCTAATACGCTAAGCGTCAAGCAAATATAGAACAAAGGCACAGGTCCCCGATCACAGTAGCGAGGATATAATAACAACTCAGAACAAAATGATACATATCACAACTGAATATTATCCCAGACATAATATTCCGGTCAACATGCCCTTTTACAAGACTATCTGAAAGAAATGCTAGAAAATATAAAATACATCGATCAGCAGAATGGAAGGTGCTACAAAAGTAAATGGAGGACCAATAACTAAGCTTCGGCTTCTTCTGCTCGGTCTGCAGAGCACTCCTGCGGGGAATCTTCTGGCTCCTGTACGACTCCGAACTGAAGCTGACCATCATATAAATCTGACGTACACCAGAGGAAACAGGTGTA